CTCTAGGATTGAGCCCACAATTGCAGGCTCAATCGTGTTCTTTATCACAGCCAAACACTTCTTGTTGGCAGTGACCTACTTCCTATGCTTAAGGTTATAGGACATCTTTTAGGATGTAAAATCCCTTTCTCTTGTTGTCCAAGCGGCATCAGCCTCGTTTGTCTCTTTCACTAGTGCCACAGGCTTAGTGGGACACGGTGAGGTGACTACCCAGTCCACCTCAGCCAAGATGAAGGCCAGGTCAATCTTTTTCTTCCACTCCGTATAGTTATCACCTTTGAGAGTGGGGATCTCTTTGATACAACCCATCAAGTTGTATCCGCCTGAAAACATAATTCATATAGAGTGAGAACATAAACATAATAATAACAATTGCATGCCTTAGTTCCAACGTTGGTCAAAATTAAAACATACAATTGTCATCTACACTAATTCTACATCACCGTTAGGCAGAAATAGAATTAAGGTATGACAAAACTCATCATAATATTGCCATTAATCAACGTTGGTCAAAATAACAACAATATTATAATAAGCTAAAAACATATCCATTTTTTAAAATTAAATTCTCCCGTTGGTTTGAATTTAATAATGAAAATAACAACTTTAAAATACGCAGCGGAATAAATGAACTCATTTTCTTGAATTTTACCGACAGGAAAAATTCTCTTTTCTATTTTCTTGAAGCCATTAATCAATTTCTAGGAAATAAAACTTTTACTAGAAAAAGAAAAACAAAAAGTAATGCATTTCTTTACTGTTCCTTTGGCCCGACCAAGAATTCGGCCTAGCCTAGCTCCGCTAACGCGCGCGTTGTGCCTCCTAGGCCGCAACCTGGGCCTGGGCCGGCAAAGCCGCCCGCCCGCGCGCTCGCGCCTGGACCGATCGCTGGCCCGATCACGCTCGTCCGTTCATCCAGCATTGGACAGTCGCGCGTCGACTTCGCTCGGAATAAAAACCGACGCCGCGGCACCCCCGGGGAAAACCCTAACTCACTCTCTATTGCCCTCTCTCTCTCTCTTCGCCTCGCTCTGCTCTCTTCTTAGCGCAGGCAGCAGCCAGTGCAGCAAGCAGCGGCGGCGACCGAGCGACATGGCACCGTTGCCGGCCCCTTCGCCGGCGCACGCGCTCCCCACGTGGGTGAGCGCGCCGCCGTCGAGCGAACTAGCGGCGGCGCCCTTTTCCCCTCGATGAGGAGCTCCCGAAACCCCGAAACCCTAGATCTCTCGGCCTCTTCTCCACCTTGTTTCTCTCAGCCCCGCGAGCACGCGCCCGGCGGCTCGCCCCTTCTGCTCGCGACCCGACGAGGCGGCAACGCGGTACAGTGGTGAAGTTTGCTGTTTCCCATTCCCCGTTTTTTCTTTGATTGGATTTTTCTTCTTTTTCTTCTCGGATCTATCCGATTTCTACCTTTTCTTTTCGGATCTATCCGATTTATACCTTTTCTTTTCTCATCTATCCAATTTAGGGTTGGGGATGGGGATCGAAGTTAGGGTTACGGTTTCGGGTTTTGTTAGGGTTTCACTGTTTATCTTTCCTGTGAAGTCTTCACGGGTTTAGGGTTCGGCTCTCACCTTCTTAAGGCTGAAACCCTCTTCATCTTTTTCTTTCCTTAACCCAGTTAGGGTTAGGGTTCAACCGAACCCTTTGTCTTCTTAGATCCGAACCGGATCTGACCTTTCTCTGTTTTCTAACACCTCTGCCGAGATCTACACCTAGGGGACCGGCTCTGATACCATTGTTGGAGCTGTAGGATCACTAGGATCATAGATCTAGCCGGTAGAGTGATTCTATTCAGGATAAAAGACGCAGTATATCCTAATACATGTAGAACTAGAGAGACAGAGAGAGAAGGGAGAAGGTGTTGAACCTGACACTGCAGAGGGGGAGGGTTCAAAGGACGCCATCATGTTCGTTGGTGTAGTCTGCGCACGGGCAGCGACGGTCGGTGAAGAGGGCGGTGAAGACGTTGACGTCGATGGAGCGGGCGGTGCGGCTGGTGGCTTCCCGTCACTGGCTACACCCCTCTCTAGATCGGGTTAGGGTTTAGGTGTCGGTGGGGAGCTCGGCTCAGGTCAACATCGTAATCAGAGCCGCCGGCCCCACCTCTTTTTATAGCGCAGTGTGATAGGGGCCCTCCAGCCATGGTGGACTGATCAGGGCGCGAATCAAAGGCCCAATTGGCACTACCGGAAACCGGCGATTTGCCGAGTGCCGGAGGCTTTGCCGAGTGTATTTTATCAGGCACTCGGCAAAGATCGTGTTTGCCGAGTGCCAGAAAAATACACTCGGCAAACAAAAACACACGGCAAAATACGTCTTTGCCGAGTGTTTTTTTTCTGGCACTCGGCAAAGAGGCTTTTTGCCGTGTGCATTTTTTTTGGCCCTCGGCAAATCAGTTTTTCGAAGCAATTTTTGAGGCCGTAAATGAATTCAAATGAAAAACTTTTCAACTACAAAGTTCTATAACTTCTCAAGATCTACAAAGTTTATTTTGGTCATTTCTTTATTTGACAAAGCGACAATAACGTTGTTCATAAAATATACATCTCTCATATCTCTTATATTAGTTTCATGAAAGTAGAAGAGAGATATATATGATTTGTGAATAATGTTACTACCACTATGTCGGATGAACAAATGACCAAAATAAACTTTGTAGATCTTGAGAAGTTATGAAATTTTGTAGTTGGCAACATTTTGATTTGAAATCATTTTGTCATGAAAAACGATGTTTGAATTTGAAACTTTTAAAATTTGAATTTTTCAAAAGACCTCGGATGGAAAAACTTCCTAAATAAAAATTGTAGATCTCCAAAAGTTATGAAACATTGTAGTTGGCAACTTTTTGATTTGAAAATATCTTGTCATGCAAAACTGCGTTTGAATTTCAAAATTTTAAAATTCAAATTTTATAAACGACCTCGGATGGAAAAACAACCAAAATAAACTCTGTAGATCTCGAAAAGTTATGAAACATTGTAGTTGGCAACTTTTTGATTTGAAAACATCTTGTCATGCAAAACTGCGTTTGAATTTTCAAATTTTAAAATTCAAATTTTGTAAACGACCTCGAATGAAAAAACTTCCTAAACTAAAAGTGTAGATCTCGAAAAGTTATGAAACTTTGTAGTTCACAACTTTTTTATTTGAATTCGTTTAGAGCTTCAAACAAACAATTTAAACTCGGTTTAGTATAATATATTGGAAACTAAAACGGAATCTAGACACAAGTGACAGTGTGGTGTAGTGGTAAAGGAGGTTTGTGCGTAGCAGGAGGTCTCGGGTTCGAATCCCGTCGGCCGCATAGCCGTGAAATTTACGCGAAAAAAGCCGGAGATGGATGGGCGCTGCCGTGAAATTTACGCGAAAAAAGCCGGAGATGGATGGGCGCTGACTGGTGGGGGCCTCCATCAATTAAAAAAAATTACATTTTTTTTGGTAAAAATTCTCATTTTTTTCGGTTTTTTTTTCGGTTCCAACTTTGCCGAGTGTCCGCCCTTTGCCGAGTGTCCGGCACTCGGCAAAGCCTTTGCCGAGTGCCCGACAAAAAACACTCGGCAAAGACGTCTTTGCCGAGTCATTTTTTACCGAGTGTAATTCGCCGAGTGTTACACTCGGCGAACAATTCGCCGAATGTTTTATGCCTTTTGCCGAGTGTTCGGGACACTCGGCAAACTCAACGAGTCCGGTAGTGTTGGCCGTTGGGTCCAGTTAGGATTAGAGATCAATCTAACACGCCCTACCTCTGCTGCCTCGGTGGTTGCACTATCAACCGCTACGGTACAGAGCCGCGTGCTTACCACAGCAAGCATGGCGGCGGCTCATGCCACGCATCTCTATCTCCACCTCCACACTACTAGCTACTTTCTCATGCGTGCCACGCGCATGCACGTCGTACTATATATACAGACTACAGAGAAGCAGCGCATCAGCAGCAGCAACAAGTCAAGTGCATATCCAGAAGATGAACAACCCAGATGCTGCTGCTGCTGCAGCTGGTCCGTGGTGGTGGTGCTGCGACAACGACAACGCCGGTGAGGCCACCGCCGCCGCCGCCGTGCCCACCACGGGCGAATCCGGCAGCTTCTTCGCCGACGTGGTCGCGGACTACTCCACGTACGTGATCTATGATTTGATGTGCAGTCAGTATCTTGGTAGCTAGAGTCTAGACAGTAACTCGTCGTGCACGGTGCTGGAAGGAAATTGATCGAGTAAAAATTTCAATGGTCGTCTAAGCAGAATCCGGTTTACGAATTGAAGGATAAATGTGGCTGATCGAGAGATCATAGTGTTAGTCTCATGTATATATGTTCCGAAAAAAAAACAGAAGATATATAAAGTGTTTCTGATGATGCCGGATCGATGTATTGCTTCTTGCGTCTAAGATATCATAGTGTTAGTCTCATCTTGCAAATTACGTTTGCTCTACGTACGTGTACAGAGATGAACTCTTTGAGCTAGTGTGGGAGCAAGGAGTGTGAATCTTAGGGATCAATTAGGTGCAGATAGAAGGGTCAAACTCTTACCGATTGAATCAAATTAAACCTAGAACTTGCTACGGGAGAGGGAGAGAGAGAGAGAGAAAGAGAGAGAGATGTAGGAGCATCTGACCGTCGGCTGTGGAGGATGACTAGCCGTCCATGGCGTAGTCGTCCCGGAGGGTGTCGGAGTAGTAGAAGCATGGGAGTCCGATGTGTCGTAGACGTCCAGCGTGGCGCAGAGGCGGCGATGGCGCTTCCTACCGCTGGCAGCGCCCCCCCTCTAGATCGGACTAGGGTTAGGACATAACGGTGGGGCTAGCGACTGTGGTGAATCTCATGCCTTGTGCCCCAGCCCCACCGTCCTTTTATGGCGCTGCGCGACGGAGGCCTATCAGCCAGTAGAAAGGTTGAGCGCCCCCGATCAGAGCGCGGATCAATGGCCCAATTGACCGTTGAGCCAATTAGTGGAGATCAATCTAACAAGGAGGATAAGACGGCGGCGGCGCATCGGGGTCGATGCAGCCGGCGCTTTCCTGCCTCTGGTCGCCGAAATTCAGCAAGTCGCCCGATGTGCGGTCGTTCACCCCACCGTCGGAGGACAAGATGGCGGCGTGGCTCGGCGCCATTGTCAAAGGCGAGGAACTTGCCTGCTGCAATGACGACGATGGCAGCAATCGCCGACCCACGACTGATGATGGTCGGGATGTAGTGCCGGCGGTGAAGTGGACGTCGCCGACGACTGCGATGGACAAGAAAGAAAAGATCCCAACGACAACGACGGAAGGGAGGATGATGGGCAACAAGGTATGTACGTACGTGTATCTATATGGAAATACCAAGTTACTCTACCAACTATATTCGTTCTTGATTCTTAAAAAAAAACTATATACGTACTTCATATATATTCGTTTCAAAAAGTAGAGACTACATAGAGGACTCTATGAAAATTGTGTGTGTGTGTTCACCTCCCCTCGTTACAAGTTGGCAAGTTGCAGACTTGCAGCAGCTCGGATCCTCACTCTAGAAAATGCTCCTAGCTGTTCATTGCATTGTTTAATCAGAATTGCAAAAAGCCAACTCAGTATATACTATAAGTCTATTCGCTGGTTGGTTTCTAGGCTGATAAGTCTGGCTAATGCTGGTTTATTGTAAAAGAAAAACACTGTATCATGGCTGATAAACCCTGACTGAAACCAACAAACGAACAGACCGCGAATAAGGACAAATAAGTCCATGAGATACACCGGCATATCCTTTTATGTACGTTCATACAGGAGAGCTAAACAAAAAAAAATGCAAATAATCTCCTAGCCCTTTTTTCCCAAATACTACACAGATAAATAACACTGTTTAAAAATTTGTCCGTAATTTTTTATACAACTTCCATATAGTTTGAATAATCATCCCTCTTAATTAAAATTGCTAACCGTTCAGGGCGAATTGAATGAAATATGCATGGTTGATGAACTAACTTTTATTACAGTAAAAGTTTTTTTTATAAGGTATTACAGTAAAAGTTGGGGATTGATCTGTGTAATCATGCATACCTCTTAGTACTTAATCTTGAGGGTCATCAAGGTAGGAATCTGAAAACAACATCTAACTAATCTTGCTTATACTTCATATGGGTAATTTAAATGGAGATCTTTTAATTTGGTTATTGCTTATTTTTAAGTATATTTTTAATAATGTCCACCATGTGTAATTTGTATGCATATTGTGGGTTACTTTGCACTCTTTTTAATAATGGCATATGTGTGAATTATATTTAGATTTACTTGTTATTTTAGGCTACTTTTCATAATTAATGACTAATGACAAAGACAAAGACAAAGACAGGTATCACACAAAGGTGGGTAATATAAGTTAGAAGCAAAGTAGATCTAATGCAATTCCCAACAACTCTAAACTCCTGAGAGTTAAATTATTAAGGGTCCCAAAAAGCAGTATCTAAGACTAAGTCTAAATAGTAAGAATTTCTGAATTGGTCTGAATTGTGTGATTGTGGTCCCCAGTTTTTCTGGTATACAACAAGTTGATTTCATCATAAGTTAATTTGCTGAGTCAAATTAATTTTTTGTTTTATTATTTCCTCATCACCATGAATGAATAAAACTACTAGTTAGTGCACATACAGCCTGTTCGCTTGTTGGTTTCAGCCAGCCCAAACCAGCCAGCCAACAGTGTTTTCCTCTGATAAAAAATCAGCACCAGCCAACCCAAACCAGCACCAGCCCCAACCAGCGAACAGGGCCTGCAATACTCTTACCTTCTTGTTTTGCCTTGGGCTATGATAGGAGACGAGAAAGGCGCCGGCATCAGGAGGATCTTCAAGGTGGTCTCACCACGGAGAAGCACACAACCTGACAGAGAAGGTACATATGACGCACGCACGCACGCAGCAACCACTTCCTCTTACATGACACATTTTGAAGCCACTGATTACGGCATTAGCCATGCACTGATCAGTTGCCACTACTACAGACGGGCTCTTTGCCGAGTGCTTAGGGCACTCGGCAAAGCCCCTATTGCACTCGGCAAAGGCTTTGCCGAGTGCCGCACTCGGCAAAGAGCAGTTGGCAAAGAACCCATCGGCAAAGATTTCTTTACCGAGTGCCACATATCGGGCACTCGATAAAGCTTTTGCCGAGTGTCACGTCAGCACTCGGCAAAAAAAAATCCGATGTCAACTCTGACGGCCTCTTTGCCGAGTGCCACCTCAGCGGCACTCGGCAAAGAATTTTTTCTTTTTTTTTAAAAATTCTTTGTCGAGTGCCATACTCTTGCACTCGGCAAAGAAATATTTTCTTTTTAAAAAAAAATCTTTGTCGAGTGCCATGGTCACGACACTCGGCAAAGAGGGGGAAAATGCTATTTTCTTTTGGTTTTTTGCTTTCCATCAGTACAAACAAAGAAATCACATATATATCAACACACAGCACAGGATATATCACATACACATCCATATTCTATCACATACACATCCATAACCCATCACATACACATCCATCATCCATAATACATCACATACAAATCCATTGTCCATAATCCATCACATACATTCGCATCATCCATGACAATATCCATCACAATATATATATGTCTCTAGTAGTAGTCCAACATAAGGCTAAGTCTAACACAAGCCCATGCAACATGAAAAGAAACAAATAAACGGTACCTACTTCCAGCCTCCCCACCCGGAGTGTGAACTGCCACCTTGAGGAGGGCCAGTTGGCCACCCGGCCTGTGGAGAAGGGCCATCTTGAGGAGTCGGGTTCGAACCCGCCGACTGTGGCTGCATAAAGGAGAAGCGAATTCATGAGTATCTACAGGAGGGCCGCACAAGCTAAAGGAATAAACAACCATATATACTCATCGGAGTCTCTACAGGAGGAGGAGGAGCCACAACTGGAGCAAGCAGCAACTGGGGCACGACCACACCTAGCAAGGCCTAAAGGCTCGCCATGAAGCTGAACATGTCCTGCAGCCTCTGCGCCTCGGCCGCCCTCTGGGCTTGTACAGCCTCCATCTCCAGCCGATGGGTCTTCGCCTAGGCCGCCTGCTGGGCCTCCAACCTCCGCAAGTCGGCCTGCAACATTCCACCCGCAATGTTTAAACAAAGCAAAGGCAAGGTAGATGTGTAAAAGCAATGAACGACGAATAAAACAGTACTAACCTAGAGTTCCACCATTTGCTGCTGTGAGCTCTGCTGCCGAGAGCGTATGGGGAGGGAGGAGCTCATGCTCCTTACTCGAATCTCGGCGAGCATGGGAACAGAGGTGGAGTCGACTGTGCTGTCCGCCATCCAGTATCAGTCGTGCTGCTTCCCTCCTCCCAGCCTCATTAGGAGGTCTGTGTCTAGGGGCTGGGTGGCCGGATCAAAGTCCTCCCCATGGCGCTCGCAGGCTGCTGAGGTGTACTCGCTAAGCTTGCTATGGACGCTCGCGTTGGTGTACGCCTCGGGCCCGTCCGCCGGGTTGTAGGTGACTTCTGGGGCCGTCGCCTTGCCCTTGTGTGCCAGGGCGTACGCCATGAACTCGTTGCATTTCTGGCCTTGGTGCGCCTGGGACTGCGAGGAAAACACAAAGATGATTACTAGTAATGAGAATTGAGCGTTAGAATAAATAAATAAAGATGAAAACACAAAGAAGATTACCCATGTCTGGGCGTACGCGCTGAGGCTCCGGTTGCCTTGGTGGTGTGGCGCCCCACCCATCTGCAGGCGGCAGTCCCGATGGATGTTGTGCTTCTCCGCCCACTCCTCCGAGAGCCACCTATCCACAATGGCCTCCCAGCAGAGGCGGTGCTTGGCGCACCAATCAGGACATTGCTGCATGCCATCAAGTTATTGATATGTCAGAAGATGAAATGAAGCCTACCTATTCTTCATCGAAGGAGTCAGTATTAATGTTTCGTACTTACCGAGAGGTACTGCTCCTTGGTGAGCGTCCTGGTCCTGGCATCGGCCTTCCTCACCACCTGACCAAGGACGTCGACGCTGTAGTTGATGATGCACTGGAGCCACGTCTCATGGTACAGGTCCGAGAGTCGGGACCTACAGACCTTGTCCTGCACTCGCGCCGTCCGATCCTCAAACCCTTCGTCGCACCTGAAGAAGTCCTGTATACAGACATCATGTATCGTTTCATTATTTCAAGAATGACCAATGAATACGTAGTATTGACCAATTTAGTGCGATGAAGACTCACCCAGAACTCGGCCTTGATCCGCGCCGCAATGGTGCCGAACTCATTGTCCTCGGCGGCGTAGAAGTGGTCCCACGTCCAGGGTGACGAAGTCACCGAGGTGTAGGTGACCATGCCAGGGTAGTGCTGCCGAATCAGAAGGCCCAGGGTGCCGTTGATGTGCCGGACCGTTCCGGACACAACTTCCCAGTTGCTGCAAGAGTCATTAAGAAGAATTGTTAGTCTCCAGTTCGATTTTCAACATGTCATATGAAATAGTAGTGAAATAATACTTACTTGTGGAGATGTCCTGGTTTGTGAGCATCGTATGTGACAACGTGCTCGAAACTTTTTCAATTTTTTTCCATGGCATACGCATACGATACGGCGACAACTCGACAAGTTTCATGATTTTCGGAATTCGTTTGCATTTTATACAATTAAAAAATCACTCCCACGCAAGTTGGCGGCGTTGCCCCGTGAGCACGTTGATCGAAATTTCGACACAGTTCCTGGATTTAGCCTAAATTTACACTAAGAAACAAGGATAACATTTTTTGAACGAACGTAATCTATTATTCGATGCACCTGCAGTTCAAACTTACATTTTCTAGAAAAAATTAACAAAACAAAATAAACTATAGAAATATGCCAAAAGACAATGAAAATGTCCCAAATTTAAACATGTTGTTTGTGGTAGTGTACTAAAGCTTCAAAAAAAATTGGTGGCAAAAAAACAAAAAAAAAATTTTGTCGAGTGCCAAGTTTTGACACTCGGCAAAATAAATTCTTTACCGAGTGCCAAACGGGGGCACTCGGCAAAGAGGACGCCGCTGGATGCCGTTAGGCCCCTACCAATCTTTGCCGAGTGTCTGCCTTTGCTGAGTGCAGGTCTTTGCCGAGTGCCAGGCACTCGGCAAAGGCCCCTTTGCCGAGTGCCATATTTTGCCAAATGCGGCGCTCGACAAAGCAGGTCTTTGCCGAGTGCCTAAAATTTGGCACTCGGCAAAGATTTTTGCACTCGGCAAATCACATGTTTCCCGTAGTGTGCAGTATTGATTAATTTATGTGCTAAATGAATACGCTGACAGAGACGACGGCACAAGATAAACGAGAGGTTCAAGATCCTGCAGCAGCTCGTCCCGGGATGCAGCAAGGTGCGTCCAATTTTATTTGTCCGGTCCCTTGTTTTCTTCTGGAGAGATCAATACGGATTTTGCAACTGATGGACATCTGGAAAATTTTTGTAAACTCAAGAGTTTGTCCTTCGTGGCAACGATGGCAATACGTGCAGCGAAAAGCATATCTCATTGGGTCCATTTAGACTTTTCAGCTCAGGGTTCCGAAACCGGGTTGAGAGGAGTTCGCCTCTAGTAGTATCACCATGTTCGCTCGATCGTATCAGCCATGTTTATTGGTCATGATATAATGTTTCTCTCTCACAATAAAACAGTATCAACCGGCTTATAAGTCACAGAAATGATCAAGCGAACAGGGTGATTATCCAAAGAAAAGTCAGTTTCTAGAAGAAGAAAAAAAACTGCTGCATGCATCCACATGATGACAGAACACAACATTTTTCATAGCTGTGAGCTGAATTGATGCGACTAACCAACTACAGCGGCGGACCCAAACCTTGTTGAGCATCTCTAAGAGTTCCCTAAATTTTTCTCCTAAAAACTTCATGTTTTCAAACTCCTAAAAATGTATTAGGAGAAAAAAAGAAATCCTTCTCCAATAATACATAATATTTTACTCCTAAAACATCAAAATTTAGTCTGCTTTTTTTGCGGTCTTTTTTTTCCGTGTGAAAGTCTTTGTGCTCGTGCATACCCCATGCCGCTGCCGCTTTCTTCCTTCGTCATGCCCTAGTCCTGCTGTTCCAGCCATGGGCGGATCCAACGGTGGGGCGGGCGCGGGGGCGGGGGGTGCTCGAGCCCCCTACCCATACCGGAGTTGTGGAAAACACTGTAGAGCCCATATGAATTTTTAGGCAAAGTTCTATACTGTAGGGGGGCTGAGACTTAAGATCGAAACAGCAGTCGAAGTTATGTATTGTTCAGTTCCTCTAAAATATTTCCTCGATCCGCCGCTGGTTCCAGCCGGTGGCAGGCAGGCACCCGGCCACCCCAGCTCTCGATCCAGCACCTCCCAGCTGGCCATCTAGTACTAGCAGTAGCAGCTAGCCATCAGCAGCAGCCGGCCATGTAGTAGTAGTAGCATTCAACAACAGTAGCATGCAAGCAAAGCCGGCCGGTAGCAGCAGCAGCCGCCCAGCAGCACTTCAGATTCTCCTCGACAGGCCACACAGCCGCGCCTAGTATCGCGATGGTGACCACCAAATAACGCATCTGTACCAACAGCAATGGCAGCCGCCGAGAAGTCCTGGCCCCTCAGCAAGGTCACCGACGGCGCCCACTGGGACGCCGAGGACATCTTCGGGCACCTGTGCATCGTGGCCGACGCCGCTTTCCTCTCCGCTGGCTTCTTGCCGTGCGACGCGCGGCCAGAAACGACGGCCTGGTCTGTACGACGCTTTCCTCTCGGGCGGCATGGACGACGCGGCGACAACAAAAAACCATCGGCCATGGCAAGAAGCAAAGATCGATGGATTACGCACCTCCTCCAGTCGTCCCAAGGTCAGCCGTGGCGACGACAGCCTCCCCTGGACGGCGCGCTTTGGCGCGAAGAAGATAGTCGTGCCAGAAACTACCGCGCCAAGGAGGAGAAAGCACGGGGAAGAAGGATACGCGCGACGGAGAGTGCGCGTAACTTTACGCAGATGTGGGTTTTTTTCCCTAAGTACTAAAAGTTTAGGAGGATATATTAGGAGCTGTTGGAGACGGGTTTTTTTTTCTCATCTTACTAAAAACAAGGATTAGGAAGAGGAACAGGAAACTCTTGGAGATGCTCATCCTAGGCCTACCCTATATTAGAAGAGGAATTGTTTTTTAGAAAGATGGGAAAAAACCCATCTCCAACAACTTCTAATATTTACTCCTAATCTTTTAGGACTTGAGAAATTCCTCCCACATCCGCATAACTTTACGCACTGCTCCCGTCGCGCGGAGGCTGATGTGGCCTGGCGGCGCCAGGTCCTGCGTGGCGGCGAGGTAGCGGCCGTAGGCGGCGCTGTGGAGGAGCACGCTGGTGGAGCCGTCCTGCAGGATGCAGTGCACCGTCCACGCCGCGTTCATCATCGTGCGGCGCCAGCGGCGCAGGGACACCCCCATCCCGTCCTCGTCGGCGTGGAGGTACCCTCCGTGCACGCGGCTCCGCAGCCGCACGTGCGCCCCGTCGGGGAACTGCTCCATCGCCGCCGCCGGTGGTGGTGGTGTACTGGTGTTCGCGGAGGCGTGCGGCGGACGTCCGGCGGCTAGCGAGTAGCGATTCGGTTTCTTGGCTCTGGTGCTTCTTCGGCTGTGGGGACGGGGTCAGGGTGCGCCTCTGCAGCAGCATGAAGTCCTCGTCCGCGATGGAGCTCCCAGGCAGCGGCGGCGTGGGCGGGTCGCCGCTGGCCGGGAATCCAGGTGGGCTGTCGTCCAGCGCGGGCGCAGGCATGGGCGGCGGCGCGTCCGGGAGCTGCGGCTGGCAGTGGGCGGTGGAGGAGGAGGCCTCAGGCGCGTCCCGGCGCTTGAGCAGGTACTGGTCCTTCTTGCTGTTGGACTTGGCCTTCATGGCGGACGCACCTGGCACGATCTTCTCCATGAGCCGCGCGGCGGCCTTCATGGCAGAGGTGCTTCCTCGCCAACACCGGCATGGAGACCCGCTTCGTGCCGACCTCTGAGCCGATAGCGGCAATGAACCAGCGTGGAGATGACGTGGGCCTCAAATTTGATTTTTTAGATGACATTTATTAGAAACTCTTGGAGATGACTATCTTTTCTCCTTCTAATATCTTTTTAAGAGTTACCAAACTATAAGTTTTTAGGAGAAAAAAATAGGAAACTCTTGGAGATGCTTTACATGAAATCGCTGCAGCACCAGGTGCAGGCGATGTCCGTCGGCCTGGCCCCGGCAGTGTATCCTGTCGTGCAACCGCAGTGCGTGCCTCCGGGGACGCCGGTGGCCATGCCATTTCCAGCAGCTCATCCGATGGTCCTCGGCGGCCACCCTCCGTCGGCGACGATGGTTCCCTTCGGGACGACCATGCTTCAGTTGCCCCGTTACCCTGGTGCAGCCGTGGCGCCCCAGCTGTATCCGGCTCTGGCAGCGGCTCCTACAAGCACTGCAGTAGCGCCTGGAGGTGCCATGTTTGCCAACCATCTTCTTGGCTTGAGCAGCAGAAGCAGCAGTAAAGGAAGAGGAAAGGGCAGTAGCAGCCTGTGCCAGAGTGACAGAACCTGACCATTACCTGGTATGATGTGGAAACACCAAGAAGGCAGGCATAGATGTATATAACAAGCCTGCTAGCTAGATAATATTCTTGTCATCATGCTCTTTTGCATAAAGCGCATGTAATATTCGCGTTTGTAAGCTGGGTTTTTAATATTTTTTAAGAAAATATTAATGTAAAAAAGGTTCTTTCCTATAAGACATTTTCAGTTTTATGACAACTTGTATTACTGTGGTTCTTTTCTGTATGATGAAATGTTGTTTCGGTCATTCTCCCCTCTTCAACGTGTGTGTCCTTGCACTACTGGAAACTAGATTTTTCCTGTGTGCCATATATATTTTCTGTCGGTTGCACGAAAACTCACAGTAAAAATATAATTTACCCTGTCGGTTCTCCAAACTCACAGGGTAATACATATAACCCTGTCGGTTTAAGTGATACGCACAGAAAAATTAGCTCACGGGATAATTACCTACAATTCCCTGTGAGTTACGGAATTTCTCTGTCACATATGTACACAGGGTAATTTAGGATAAAAAACGCGCCAATTTTCCCGCCTATGTTTTTGCTTCGCGGGCTTCTTCGTGCTTTCGCCGGCCCGGCTTTGCGCCTGTGGACTCTATGGATCCAAAAGGCAAAGAATGAAAAAAAACGTCAGACCTTATCCATCCCCCAGCGCCCTCAGCTCCAGTCGCATCCGCATCTCCAGCCGCCGCCCAGCTCCCGTTCTGTCGCGCCTCCGCCTCTCCACCCGGCCAGCTGCATAGTCAAATTCAGGCTTCATTTCACTAGTCAGGATCAACATGGAGGATAACGATGGGGTTACAATTCCATGTAGCTTTATATATTATCAATTATGTAAATAAATTTCAGGAGTCCAGAGTGTAGTAAACCATAAGACCTTCAGGCAGAGATTCTAGCAAGTAAATTGTATGTTATACTATGTAAGGCTACAAAATGGAAACACAGGACAGTTGTAGGAAGGCAAAAACACTAGACATTACAATGCATAATGGACAACTTTGTTGGCAAGATTGAATCTGATTGCCATAAGAAACTTGGAAGCAAAGAATGCAGAGCCATTCAAGATTAACATACTATGAGCCATAAGAAACTTGGAAGCAAAGAAAGCATATATAGTTATACTTAAGATCAAAAAAAGGAGAAATAAATCAAAAATATTATTAGTAGCTCGACCAGTAGGCCTTATTTTGGTGATATAGTTATACTTGATAATGTATTTTCCTTTCTAGGATGAGTATACAGCAAAGTCCCAGGCTGCTCATCCAGAAGGGCTGGAGCAACATGAGTTGGATGGACAAATTCTGTATGATCTATCTGGTGCCTTGCACCATGGTCGTTTAGCCATTGCAAATGGTGCTGTCAAATTGGCTGATGTGCGGGCTGCTGCCAAGAAAAAAAATCCTGCATCTTCAAATGTAGCATCTTATCGACGCATGGCCAAAGATAATCGGAATTTACGTCATGCAAATAGGTGTTTACATGAACGCCTTAACCAGATAGGGGAACTTAATAATGACCTAATACTGGTATGGATGTGAATTCATGTGTCTATTTATTGATTCAAGAAAGCACGCTCCTAGTAGTTTATTTTTGAACCACTATACTTGTTTGGATGTAGGATCTTTATCGCAAATTGGATTAGGAGGTTCCAGAAAATCATAAAAGGCGCCTTGCAGCTCTACAAGCAAATGTAAGTACATTAACTTGATACTTGTACCTATGAAATCGGTATTAATTATGACAAAAAAACCAGCTGGTCTAAACCATTTTAAGTAGACAACTGATATGTTTTGATGTTAGAATGACAACATGCAGTGCAGCAGTGAGGGAGTGGCCTCATGTTGGTGGATACTGTAGTTTCCAACTTTCCATCTTAGTTTTAACCTCATGGTAAGCTGTGATGGGGCAGGGGTAGGGTGGTGCAGGTGGGAAGGAGGGAGACAACCTGCCTGCAGCCTCCCTTGGCCCTCGAAGCTTCCTGTCCCTTGGGTGGCTGGTCACCAGAACACAGCTTCCGCTATATAAAGACTAGGAAATCCCTGTTTCCTGAACCCAGGTTATACATAGTTTATATGAGTACAAATGACTAATATGCCCCTTGATCATTTGAGTATGCTGGCATGCACATCCATCATAAAAGGGCAGGGGTCTTAGTGTCCAGTGCCCACGCTAAAATATAGGGGTCCCTGATCCTTATTGTTGACTTGTTTGGTTGTCTTGGATGTGCTTTGCTAGGCTGCTAGACACAATGCTACTTGGCCAAGCAATCTCAGAGACACGCTGAGATAGGATCACCTCTGTTTTCTTTTATCATTATTAGAATCATATATGTTGTGTTCCTTATTGTGTGTGATTATTTACAGCAATATCACTTCTAGGCTAGATTGCCATTAATTAGTTCAGCTCAGCATGTCTATGTCTTGAGATATACCTGAGTCTCCTGGCAGACATTTTGGTGGGGCTGTTACTAATCCAAACAAAATGAGCACACAAGTTCCAGGAAGTGCTTTGCTATTCCAGATAAAAATGCATCTGGCAACTTCAAACAACTCTTTGTATGTACATAGGGAGTCTTAGATTATCCAAGTATTAGGTTGGTTTTCGTTCTGAAAACTAGTAACATATATCTGCTTCAAAGGTTTGTACATGTTGTTTTTTGGAACTACTTGGTACTTGTTAGCACACCAAAAGTACAGTATCACACGAGATATACCACTTGCCATGCCAGCATGTATATTCCTGGATGTCACCGTACAAGTAGTCTCCGGTTCTTTTCTCATGTAATGGGACCTGCAGGTGATGAAGCCACCTATGCATGCATGCATACATTGTATCTCGCCAGATAATATATAACCTAAGAAAAATATTGTGGAAGTATATACCAAAATGAAAGAGTCTGTTACGTACAGCTGGAATTGCGTATGCAGAAATTTGACTCTTGTTCCTGAACCCCAAAAGTAAATGCCTCGGTTAGGTGGGGTACTATTCTCTGATCGCGGCACTTCGTAGTTAGCTAGTTCTATTATTAACCGGGACTGGACGGGAACATCGTCTCACATCGTTCTAGAAGATTATATTTGGAACCATGTTTAAGCAGACAACTGATATGTTTTGATGTCAGAATGACAACACGTAGTGCAGCAGTGAGGGAGTGGCCTCATGTTGATGGTTACCGTAGTTTTCAATTTTCCATCTTAGTTTTTACCTCATGGTAAGCTGTACTTCTAGCTGTACTGAAACTGTGCTTCATGTATGGTGCTGGTGTAAAAAGAAATCATGTATAAGACAATTAATTAATGTTTATCAGTCCTAAAATCCAATTGATATTTACATGGTATTATCATTTTGCAGCTGCCCACTAGTTCATCCCATGTTGGTGAGGACTTGGATGGTGAGGACATGGATGGAGAGGACGAAGAGGACATGGATGGCAGCTACATGGAAGGAGAGGACACGGAGGAGGACATGAATGAAGAGGACATATATGAAGAGGACGAAGGGGACGAAGAGGACGAAGAAGACAGGGATGAAGAGGACATTGACGACAACAATGGGGGCAGCAATGCTGGATCATACATCGATGACTTCTGTGATTTGGGATATATATGGTAAGGTTGCTATTGGCAGAAATAGCACATGGGTTGTCAAAGTGACTTTTGTCTATTGAACAACGTAAGCTGGTGGCTGGTGGCTGTCTTTTGTCTTTTGAACATGTATGGCCGTGGATGATTAACTTAGTAGTAATTGAATGTTAGATGGACTCGGCTAAAACTAGGATGTCGTGGTAGGTGACATGGTTGTACATGTATAAATTAGGAGCAGCAAATGCTGGTGGTAGTAGTAGAATGTTAGATGTAATTTGTGAGGGTAGAACCTTTGGTATGTTGGCCCATGTTGAATGCTTTGTAAGCTCTTATGGAACTTCTAATATATATGCTTTAATATTGTGATATGCATATAACGTGTTGTTTGGTGAATCAGTAACAGATGTAATTGTAATATTTTTGTGTCACCTACTAATTTCTTTGGTGGTAATTTGAGAAAAATTTGTGATTTCCTTGACGGGAAGCCATCAAAAAAATTAGGTTGAACTGACAGAAATATGTTTACTTCCTTGAGGAATATGTTTACTTCCTTGAGGGTTGACTGACAGAAAAATTACTATAGCCCACAAAGAAATTAGCAATATCCCTGACGGTGACCCTACAGGAAATCAGTTAACCTGACGGTTCCTGGCGCCGCACTAAACCTCCGGACGTTACAATATTTTTGTCGGACATCCGTCAAAAAATTACCGTCAGAAAAATATTTCTGTCGGTAAGCTCACAGTCAAATATGATTTCCCTGTCAGCCTATCCTTGACGGTATATGCCTGTCGGGCTCCCGACAGAATTAATTTTTCTGACGTTTTTTCACGTTTTCTTGACGGTTTTTTGGCACACAGGAATAATGTAGTTTCCAGTAGTGTTGGTTGAAATAAGCCTTAGGATCCATGGCAAGGGATAAGGACGAGTAGCATGCAAAGCATTATTCTCGCTGCCGCTACAACTGTATCCCCAAGGCATGGGCGCATGGCTACACCGACAGATGTCCATCTTCTATGATGTTAGCCTTTTGTTTGGAGTGACTCCTTCAACATGTCCTTCTTACTAGATTGTTGCTTCCACTAAGGTATATCTCACTAAATTACATGAGTTTTGAGGCATGAAACCTTGCTTCCACTAGAAATCAGTCAACTAAATTCCTACCTTGATGATCCTCAAGAATTAGAGAAAATTCCTTTTGACACTCTAAGATGACATGGTTCCTTGTTTGAACCTGAGATTTTTTTTCCTATCCTATATCACACTATAGGTTTGCTTTAGGTGCCTAATTTGACGCTCCAGTCTGTTCCTTTGGTGCCTTCCTTAGATAAACGAGATGAAAGAAAATGCCCTTAAGGAGAGAGAGACAGAATGAATGCGCATAGAGGGAGAGACTGAACCTAGCTTGAACCATGGGTATTTAATTTTTTGCCATCGTTACTAATGGCGCTCCATCAAATGCTAGTTTTAGAATGACATACATATTTATCACTGGAGAGAGAGAAACTTACCTAACTTTATGCCATTTTTGCTGAGGTATGTGAAAAGTCTCCAAAAAATAATCGCTAAAAAGGTATGCAAAAAACAAAATCCACCATATCGTGCACAAGACAAAACCAGATTTGTCGGATGACCTCACGTTAAGATAGAACCTGCAAAATAATCAGGTTACAAGTCAGTCCTCCAAGACTTGAAGACTTTTCACTCAACTTCTTTGAGTTAAGCGGAAGCTAGGGGGCTACATCCAAAGGGTGAACTGTTCACGCACGCAAGATAGAGATCAAGAAAAAATGCTAAGATTCTCCAGATAATGATTCCATGAATCACGTGGAATCTCAGGGTCTACGCCCAGCGGATGCGTTGTCTGTGCACCCATGATGGCATGAATACATACCTCAAGCAATGGCAAAAATTTCTTGGCAAGATGTGTGCTCGAATCTAAGCCTTATCCAACCATATATAGGAGACGAATGGCTAGTTTTGATGTTGAATCCAACTCTTCTGATCACTCGGCCTATTCCTTCACGTCGTCAATCTCCCAAGCAATGGGCTTAGCACATTTAGGGCCTGTTGTTTGCTTTAGTCAAGGCAGACTGGCACCCGAGACAATTCCAGGCGTTCGATTCTCCATGCCTATGGCCAGGATTCTTGCATGGGAAGAGCTTTGCCTGCGGCGCGTCAAGCAATCAGGCCATTAGACACTAAAAGAGATCTTTCCTTCTATAATAGTTTTCGAATGACAGATCAATTATCTGTTACAAACGGGTTCTATTTGTGACGATTTTACTAGAGATGACAGATGTTTACGACAGATTCGTGTTTTTGTTGATAAACGTCAACTCAAAACCATCGTAGCCTACTTCTGTGATACATTTGTGATGATATTTAAGACATACTTGACTACCATAGTCGTTTGTTGGTTTTTCTAAAAAAACAGATGCATCATTCATGCTAGCAAATATAGATAGCCTATTGCGAACTGATCATAGATCAGTTGGGTGGGTTTCTTGTGGTGAAACCTACCCTCCCGGGTTCAAGTCCTCGACTTGGCACGGGTGTTCATATTATTCCAGGATCTATTCCGGTATTTAACGGCGCTATGCTTTCAGTGGTATGCGACGTCCCTATCGACACTGAGGCGCCTGTGGTGACTTCGTGATTCGTGAATCTCAAAATCTGCGGACTTAGTCCTTCGGAGATGCTCATAGAGGTAATCGGAGGTGCTCATAGGGGTGAGTGTGCGTGCGTGTTGTGGACGTCTACATTGTACTATGTAATTTAAAAAAATATATAGCTAGCCTATTAGTAGCAGGTCCCAACTAAGATAAAAAAACCAATGTGTTGTGACATAATACCTATTGTCATACAATCTTATATCGCTTAATAAAAGTATAAAACATCTCCTAAAATAATTATAAAGTTTAGTTTGAAAATTCGATTTCATTTTGGGACATTTCAGTTTCAAAATAATTTCAAATCAATTTAAGAAAGGTTTTAGAAACTTCAAAGCGTCTAAGTCCGACTATATTATTTTTGTAATAATAATAATAATTATTATTATTATTATAATATAGTTTGATGTATGTTTTAGAAAATGTATAAGTCTAATTTTGACTATACAACTATCGTCCGAGATTGATTTTGGCCATTAAACACAAAACCAAGAATCTTCAAATATCCAACAATGTTGTTTATATTGGCGAGATTCGATCAATTTTCATGAGTGGTTTGGTGATGTGGCAGTAGACCTGAGCATGTTGTGGGGCTCGAAAAAGCCCAGTTCTTTTGGGCCGAAAAAGTCTCACCCATGACCGTCCCACTGGGCAGGTTGGGCCTGGCTTGGGACGGGTCCGGGCCTGGGCGGGCTGCTCACGTATTTTACAGTGTAAAATAACAAAAAATAATATTTCGGGACGGGCTCAGACCAATAATTTTTTTTTTAGGCAGCAAGATCTGGTTCGTGGACGGGCTAAAATCCGTCAGACTCGGGACAGGCCCATGGGCCGGGCAAAATTTGCTCGGTTCTACATGGCAGTCAGGCTCACATGTAAGATCTCAGTTTATAAATCAAGTCAAATCAAGACTAACTAAATATCAATGTTGTAGATCTTATCAAGATCTACAACTTTGTAGTTGATGACTTTTTTATTTGAAATTATTAATGGTCCTAAAATTTTGTTTAAAGTTCTCATATTTTGAAATTTAAAATTTTGAAATGTTCAAACGCACTTGGATGAAAAAATCACCAATACAAAAGTTGTAGATTTTATGATACCAACAACTCCGTAGCTGATGATTTTTTTCATTTAAAATCATTTATGGTTCCAAAATTTTGTTGGAAGCTCTCATATTTTGAAATTCAAATTCTTGAATTATTGAAATGAACTAGGATAAAAAAATGACCAAAACCAAAGTTGAAGATATAGATAAGATCTACAACTTTGTAGTTGATGACTTTTCATTTGAAATTATTTATGGTCTCAAAATTTTGTCTGAAGTTTCCATATTTGGAAATTCAATTTTTCGAATTGTTCAAACAAAGTCGAGTGGAGAAACGATCAAAACTAAAGTTGTAGATCTCGATGATATCTAGAAATTTTTAGTTGACAATGTTTTCATTCAAAATCAGTTATGGTCCCAAAATTCTATTGGAAGTTATTATATTTAAAATTCATTTTTTTCTTCTAATTGTTCAAACAAGAACTCGGATGGAGAAACAATTAAAACCAAAGTTATAGATCTTGATGAGATATATAACTTTGTAGTTGATGACTGTTTACACCAAAATTTGTAAGAAGAGTCACAGGGACTCGAAAGCTCCCAAGATCATGTCATCAAGGAATCAATTACGTGCAGACCAGAACCAGCTGATTCGTATGCAAAACTGGAATCGGCTTTCTTCAGATAACGTCAGCAGATAACGACAAAGGCTATGATCGACGACAGGACGAGACATGTTGGACTCTACAAAAAGAAAAATATTAGAGTCCAAGTTATCTTAAATTAGGAATGTTTTCTCTAGAGTCAAAAATTGTAATGAGTCGTGCTTAGATAGGAGTCATGCACAGGGTCCGGGTATAAATATCAACCCCCGGCTATTGTAAAAGGACAACAATCAATCCAATATACAAGTCATTTACTTTTTTGGCTCCGGCCACCCATTAGGAGTAGGAGTAGAGTAGATCTCGACGAGTTTTTCAGCAAGTACGGCTGCATCGATCTAGTCGACCTCCACTGCTTGTTGTAAGTACCATCATGGCTTATACCTCTGTTCGAACGGATGCATTGATCCGGTCGACCTCCACTGCGACTCTGGTATAAGTTAGTTATCGATTCTTGCCTAGTTCAAGTATGGTTGCATCGATCCGATCGACCCCCACTGCATGAACTAGTATGGTTGCATCGATCCGATCGACCCCCACTGCATGAACTAGATCAAGGTCAAGTTATCGGCTCTACCTTAGGATGACAGTCTTTGGTAGATTCATTAAGTTACCGATATTGTTTATTGCTTTCATTATTTATCTA